GGCATTGGAGCCCTGGTGCTGAAACTTGCAGTCCAGGGAACATTTTTTCATTCCTGCACGTGCCTCTTGCCCCATCTTAAAGGGGTTTGAGATGGGGCAAGAGGCATGTGCACGCTCGTCTGGACGTGCCCAGCAAGATCAAAGTAGAAAAGTTTTCATAGGAAAAAAATCAATAATATTCAAACAAAAGTTCAATAATTGCATTAAGTGATTCAGATATCTTCATTCTATCATAAGTGAATAACAAGCATCTCTTAACATTTATTTATTTACTGAGTGTTCTATAAGATCATTTCCCTAATGTACTACTATATAATATGTCAGAGCTAATTTGTAAATAAGGCCACATACATTGGTAATATACTTTTCTCTGCTTCTAGTTGAGTTACTGTAGCATGTTGTAATTTTATTCTTTGATCAAATTGCTTCTACCTGAGATGTATTTGCATGTAAAATGGGAGACTTTTTCCAAAAGCATATTTCAGGATTCTGGGTTTTTTTCCTGAATATTGATAATAGTAATGATGATAATGTTACGTATATTTTTTTTTAATTTCTGAAGTTCTTAATGTCTAGGGAAAAGAATACTGAAACTCACTAAAAAAAGGGAATGAAGCTATCAGCTTTAGTGTAAATTATTTGTATGCTTCACTACAAGGTTAAGAAATCCGCTTAAGATTAGACAGCAAGAAGGCATATCCATTTGATGTAGAACCAGAAAATTTGCAGTTTCCAGATTTTCCTCCAACCAGATGACCACAGTAGAGTAGATTAGAGAATATTTTTCCAGTCATGTGTGGTCCATGATGTACATTGCCAGAGCTGGGTATTAGTGTGATGTAAGGTATGATTTATAATATGTTTTATTCCTCAAGAAGTTTTGTGTTTTGATATTTTTTAGTTTAATCTCTAGTGTGATTAAAGTATTTGACAAATACAGTACAGTGGTAATATCTCTCTTTCGTATGCATCAGATATCAGCTTTCAAATCTATGAGCTGCTGTCTGGTATTGTTGCTCAATGAGGGGTAATATAAAAAGAGAATGATAAGTTTAAAATTAATGGTTAGAAATACGTATTAATTTGATGTATAAAATAGTAATGAATATGATTTCAGTAAAGCTGCATTGGGGAGAAGACTAATCAACTGATTGAAGAGTTATAATGGCATTAGAAAGGGGCAACAATTTTAAAATCCAATATTATGGTCTCTCTCAGTGCTAGAAATTGGTTGGCTTCTGATGGCTAACTATGAATATTTCATTGTTTATTGGGGCAGGTTTCCCATTCCTATATCTGCAGAATTCAGAAGAATCGGATTTAAACTTTTATACAGTTGTAACAAGTGTTGCTAAGCATATCCCATCTCATCTGCGTGATCCATTTGGACTAATGTTCACATAATTAATGTTGCTTCCCTTTGAATGTAGGTGATCACTATTGATAGTTTTGTAAAGCCAAAACTGAAGTTTAGGTAGCAAAAGCATCTTTTTATTAATACTTTATAGAATGAGAATTTCTTCTTTGTATTAATGCCTGAAAAAATGGTTGACATCGTACTAAATAGAATTGCCTAAGTCAGTTTAAAAAAGGAAAGGTTTGTTTGCCATCCTCCTTAGTTACACTGCAACTAAACTCAAATCCAAGAACTCAACAGGGCTATTGACCTAAAAGTATCATGCTAGTATTCCCACTGTGAATTATGCATAAAGATTGTATAACTTTAATGCTTAAAAAGAAAAGCTATTTTATAATAGCTTGTGCATTTCAGTTATTTCAGATGAAATTAATATGTCATTTTATTTTCTTCAGGTTATCAATGCTGCTTTGGCTCTTGCTGTCAGGCCAAAAAGCCAGGTGGTAAAAAGCAACATGGAAATGTACAAAAGCACGTGGGAGAATCATATACATGTTTTCACTGAAGCTGTGGATGACATAACAAGTATTGATGATTTTCTTGCTGTATCAGGTATGCTAATTTTCATAATATAATTAGCTGGTTTTTATTTTCTCTTGTAAACTTATTTAAATTGCATTCAGTGTATTTTTACTTAAAACGCAATAATAAACAAATGGGAAATCAATCTGTGTTAAGATTTTCTACCTCCTAAAAGAAGTAACCGTAATATGTCGTAACACAACAGGTTAAATTAGGATGGAGAGAATGCTATTGTCAACTCCAAACATTAACAAACAGAATAATTACTTAAAAGTCATGAGACTGAAACAAAACAAGTAGATTTATTTTTTCTTCTTTAAACCTTTTAAGGTGCATTTAGCTGGTACTTCATGATAAGTTATTTCAGCAACCAAGAGAGAACCTTTCTTTTTTTTTTATCTTTTAAAAAAATAGGAAGATGAGGCTCTCAAGAAACCCTTTTCTCCTTGACCTGATACTTGAATTCAAAACACCAAATATCCTGGGGCATGTGATAAACTATGAATATTTGTAACCCTGAAAGAAAAACACTATTTTCTATTTCCTGAACCTTTCCCAAACTTTATGGGTTTTTTTTACCTACAGCATAGTCTGGTGTGGTTCTAAAAAAATATTTTGATACAAACATCGGTCATCTTTATATAAGTGATGTCGAAACGTGGCTTTACCCTCCTTCCCCCTCACCCCCAGCTAAAAAAATCCCCAGATAATTAAGTATAGCACCCAAACAAACCCAAAGTCGTAATGGTTTAAATACACCATGTCATGAGGTAAAGAAGTCTTATTGAGCATTTAGGATTTTCATGTTTGGTGTGGGGTGTAAATTTGGTATAAAATCAGCTATGTATTCTCTTTTTCCTGAATTGTGCCATACGCAGAAATGTTTTAGGGTCAGGAGCTGGTCACAATTTTTACATATCCTTAATTAGAGCTTAATGAAAACTGGATGCACTATAAGTTACTGTCCCTTTAACAAAAATTCCCAATGAGGCGTTCAAAAATATTTTCATATCATATAAGCTTTGCTTTCATGCAAGATATACTTAAAGTACACCATAAATTGAACATATATACTGTAACATTTCTACATTTCCAGCAGTCTCCAGGAGTTATACATTTTTTTCAGGTAAAATGTACTTTTAAAACTGAAGATATTCAATATTATTAACATACTGAACTAGTATGTAAACAGAGCATACAAATGGGTTATCTCATTTCTCTTGTCTTACCTTCTTTCTGTTAAGATTCATTTAAATCAGATGAACATGGGCATGAGGCAGAAGTAAGCCTTTTTTTTTTTATTTGAGCAAAACTTCACTCCCTTTTTATAGTGCATGTGTGTTGTACTATTCTCTAGCTGTCCTGATGAGTCCAACACATAGGATCAAGGATTGCTTTGGTCTTTGCCAGGATAGTTCCACCGCTGTTAGTGGAATTGCAAAAGCATATAACAAATATACATGAAGTCAGAACGATGCCCATTTATCCAATTCAGGTTTGTTTCTTTGAATACACAGGCTGTCATAAGGCAGTTTGTAGGCTTCTTTAAATTATTTGCCTTCTTTGTTGGATATAATCCATTGACTATGGAACTAGAACTGTTTAGAGGCAGAATTTTCATGAATGAGCAGCACTCTTCTTGGTATTGAAATGCTGACTCTGCTCCCTAAAAATTGTATTTAGAGGCAAAAAGTATTTTCACATCTGGACAAAACAAAGTTACAGAGAAAATCTGCATTTTCTTAAACAAGCTGAACAATGACTTTTTCCCTACAAGTAAATAGTAAATGTCAGTAAAGTTCATGAATGCTTTGCTACTTCCAGGCTGTTTTTTTTTTCCTTACAGTCAACAGTAGCAGCTGTAACTTTAAGCCAACAATAGTTGCTAAGGTGGTATTAATGCTGAAGCCATAGAATGATGTCAAAGATACAAAACTATATGAAAGTGTCTCTGACAACCTGGCATTAAAATACATAATTTTCATTGTCTAATGTTATAATCACCTTAGTAAACTTTTTAATGGTACTGTAGAGTTTCATTCAATAAAAAGAGAAAAAAACCTCCATAGATTTAAAAGAGCAAAGTCTTGAAGCCATGGTCTGGATCAAGCTAGCTTGGGTCTCAGCTGGGGTGGTGCTCCCAACTTGGCCTCCTGCTATCTCTTCTACCCTTCTATATCCAGCTGTAGTGTAGCACCCACAAAACATCCCCTTCAACTCCCCAGCTGTGGCATGGTACACGTGTAGCCCTCCCTCTCCCAAACTGCCTAGCTGTGGTATGATGCATTCAAAGCTTTCTGGCTGCAGGAAGGTGAGCAGAAAGTCCCCAGTTTCACAGATTGGATTCAGTGGCTCTAGGCGAAATCAGCCTGGGAGATGTATGTTAGGAACCCTTGATTTAAAACATAAGTCTACAATATTTAACTGATGATTTGGTAGGCTTCTGTTAAAAATGTGTACTGTACCTATCCTGTTGAAACATATACTACTACAACTTTTTCATTTGATTTGGGTTGCATTAATTGATTTTGCAAAATAGATTTCATGCAAGTACAATAATCTCATCTAACATTTTAGCTTCTGAAATTATATTAATTTATGTTAGTCTGTATAAAATGTAAGTTACAGGAGGATGTCATATCCATTCTTGTACTGTGTACATCTGTCCTCCAAAAAAAATCAGGTCTCCAGAAATTGGGGTGCACATCTTAAGCAGGGAAACTGATTTTTTTTTGTTGGAATTGAAAAGTGGAGGAATAGATGAATGGAGAAACTGCTGTAAAATGGCTGCCAGCTTCTCTCTCCGGCACCAAGCAAGAGGGGTGGAGTCCAGTATTAACACTCTTACAGACACTTAAGTTGGCGAGAGCTTTTGGCTGAGAGCCAAACAAGCAGCAAAAAAAGGTTGCCAAATTGAGAACGGCTGTGAAAATGTTAATGTTGGACTACATTTCTCCTGTTTGCTGTCCCAGAAAAAAGTTGGCAGCCATCTTACAGGACTGACTGTCAATAAAAAAATCCAACTCTAGGCCATGACTGGAAAAATACTTTTTCCAGCATTCTACCTTCCAAACACAATGTGTGTGTTTTATTTGGTGGCTGGTGGTATGCGATAAAATACTGTAATACAGTTGTGCTTAACGTTTTGGTCCTGCAGGCCAGATGAGTGCCCTGGAGCCCATCTGTGAGCTGGATCCATCTCTCTGCAGGTCAGATCAGGTTGTGGGGCCCAGCATTGCCCCCTCCCTGCCCCATGCTCCAGAACTGGGGTCTGGGGATCCAGCACTGCACACCAGGATTAGATCCTGGGGGCTGGCACTGCCTCTTCTCATCTTCCACATGCCAATATTTGGTCCCAGTAGTCCGGTGCCACCTCCTCACACCATCACACCAAGATTTGGTCCTGGGGCCTGGTGCTGCCCCCATTGAGCCCTGAACACTGGGATCAGGGATTTGATCCAGTGTGCAGGGCCTGAGGCTCCGCATGGGTATGGAGATTTGGCAACTGAGGTGGGGAGCAGTGCTACCACTCTCCCACTGCCAATTTTCTGGATGCAGAGGGAGCCCCATTATCCAGATGATATGATGCCACACATCTCCCACAGGCAACACAGGCTGTACTGTAGCTACCCACCCTGCTTTCCCTAAGACAAAACACAGAGTGTTTGTCATAGGAGACTCCATCCTGATAGGAACTGAGGGGGCAATCTGTTGCCCTGACTCCTTAGCCCGGAAAGTTTGCTGCTTCCCGGGAGCCCATATCTGAGACATTGCAGAGAGAATCCCTAAACTCCTTCAGCCCACTGACGACTACCCTATGCTCCTTGTCTACGTAGGCACCAATGACACAGCTCGGAGTGCTCCCAGCCAGGTCATGAAGTGCTACAGGGATTTGGGAGCGGGGCTAAAGGGTCCAGGGGCACAAGTGGTGTTTTCTTCGAACCTCCTAATCTTGTGCTATGGGCTGAGAAGGCAGAGGAGGATTGAGGTAGTGAACGAAAGACTGCGGCACTGGTGTCATTGGGAAGACTTTAGCTTCCATGACCACAGTCCACTATTTGGTGAGGAAGGAAGTGAGTTGCCAGACTGGCTGATCTGCTCCACTGGGATTTAAACTAAGCCCGCCAGGGGATGGGGGGGACTACCGCCACTGTTGGCCCACTGAGCAACCCTTGCAAAGCCAGCAGACCAAGGCACTCAAGGGATACCACCCCTACCCAAGCCCTGGAATGACCTTTAGGCAAGGCAAGGACCCTCAAAGGCACACCTGCGTGCCTGTACACAAATGCCAGGAGCTTGGAGAATAAACAGCAGGAACTTGTCCTCCTGCTTAACACAAATAACTATGATGTCATAGGGAGACCGGGGGAGATCTCCACCTATGACTGGGCCACAGGTATAGACAGCTATACCCTGTACATGAGGGATTGAGTGGATAAAAGGGGAGGGGGTGTAGCTCTCTATGTCAAGGAGAGCTATGTATCCCTGCAAGCTGATATTGGAAACCAGGGTGGATGACTAGAGACCCTCTGGGTTAAAATCCACGGGGAACATGGCACAGGGGACAAATTGGTGTGGAAAGACCTACAAAGGATGGAGGATAGCATCCATACAAAATCAAGAGTTTGACCAGGAGTTCACCAGGGAATTGGCTAAGGCCTCATGCTCCAGGTCCATGATTGTCATGGGAGACTTCGACTACCCAGTCATCTCATGGTAAGAGCACTTGGACAAATTTGAGCAGTTCCAAAGCTTTCTCTCCTGCGTGGATGAGTTCTATCTAACACAAGACGTCTATGGGCCAATGAGAGGTAAAGCGCTGCTTGACCTGGTAGTGGCAACTGGGGACGACATAATCAGTAACCTAATGATCAAAGGGCAGCTGGGTGACAGTGACCATGAGCTGATCACCTTCACCATCTGCCAAAAAGCTAGCAAGTCACTCAGCAATACAGAAGTCCTCAACTTCAGGAAAGCAGACTTTGACAAGTTCAGGAGGCTTTTCAGTGAGGCCCTAAGGGACCATGACCCCAAGGAGAGGGGAGTACAGGAAGAGTGGTTGCTCCTCAAGGGAGTGATCCTAGATGCACAAGCTAAGGCTATTCTGTCTCAGAGGAAAGGCAGCAAAAGGGCACAGTAGCCCCATTGGCTCAGCAAGGAACTAGCGGACTTCCTGCATCTAAAAAGAAAGACCTACAAAGGATGAAAGATGGGATCCACCTTCAAGGAGGAATAGTCTACATTGGTCTGGACCTGCAGGGAGTGAACCAGGAAAGCCAAGGCTGTGACGGAACTCCAACTGGCCACTAGTATCAAGGATAATAAGAAGTCCCTTTTCAGATATGTGGGGAGCCGGAAGAAAAGCAAGGGCAACAGTGGACCCCTGCTGAACCAGAAGGGACAGCTGACGACCAACGCCCAGGAAAAAGCCAACCTACTAAATGGGTACTTTGCGTCGACCTTTCACCATTCCCATGGGATGCCCCTGCCCATTATGAGACAGAGAGGCC